GCTCTAAAAACTCGCTCCTCTCCACCTCCTAACCTGAGTGTCCACAATTCCTGTGAGGAAGACAAACATCGATCTGAGTTACAGCTTCAGTCCACGGAGAATCGCTGTGGTCGGCACACACACACCCACACAGACAACCAACCACACAGCCTGCAGCTTAAAGTTTCTAAACTCTTCTGCCATCAGACACCATTTATATTCATACTATAATACATAAAACCTTTTATTTTCCAATCTGCCAGATATACACTATATTGCCAAAAGTATTTGCTCACCTGCCTTGACTCACATATGAGCTTAAGTGACATCCCGTTCCTAATCCATAGGGTTCAATATGACGTCGGTCCACCCTTTGCAGCTAGAACAGCTTCAACTCTTCTGGGAAGGCTGTCCACAAGGTTTAGGAGTGTGTTTATGGGAATTTTTGACCATTCTTCCAGAAGCGCATTTGTGAGGTCGCACACTGATGTTGGACGAGAAGGCCTGGCTCTCAGTCTCCGCTCTAATTCATCCCAAAGGTGTTCTATCGGGTTGAGGTCAGGACTCTGTGCAGGCCAGTCAAGTTCATCCACACCAGACTCTGTCATCCATGTCTTTATGGACCTTGCTTTGTGCACTGGTGCACAGTCATGTTGGAAGAGGAAGGGGCCAGCTCCAAACTGTTCCCACAAAGTTGGGAGCATGGAATTGTCCAAAATGTCTTGGTATGCTGAAGCATTCAGAGTTCCTTTCACTGGAACTAAGGGGCCAAGCCCAGCTCCTGAAAAACAACCCCACACCATAATCCCCCCTCCACCAAACTTTACACTTGGCACAATGCAGTCAGACAAGTACCGTTCTCCTGGCAACCGCCAAACCCAGACCCGTCCATCAGATTGCCAGATGGAGAAGCGCGATTCGTCACTCCAGAGAACGCGTCTCCACTGCTCTAGAGTCCAGTGGCGGCGTGCTTTACACCACCGCATCCGACGCTTTGCATTGCACTTGGTGATGTATGGCTTGGATGCAGCTGCTCGACCATGGAAACCCATTCCATGAAGCTCTCTGCGCACTGTTCTTGAGCTAATCTGAAGGCCACATGAAGTTTGGAGGTCTGTAGTGATTGACTCTGCAGAAAGTTGGCGACCTCTTCGCACTATGCGCGTCAGCATCCGCTGACCCCGCTCCGTCAGTTTACGTGGCCTACCACTTCGTGGCTGAGTTGCTGTCGTTCCCAAACACTTCCATTTTCTTATAATACAGCTGACAGTTGACTGTGGAATATTTAGGAGCGAGGAAATTTCACGACTGGATTTGTTGCACAGGTGGCATCCTATCACAGTTCCACGCTGGAATTCACTGAGCTCCTGAGAGCGACCCATTCTTTCACAAATGTTTGTAAAAACAGTCTGCATGCCTAGGTGCTTGAATTTATACACCTGTGGCCATGGAAGTGATTGGAACACCTGATTCCAATAATTTGGATGGGTGAGCAAATACTTTTGGCAATATAGTGTATGTGGCTGACATGTGTATTTGTCAAAAGGTGTTCAGTGGTAAATTTTCAGTATATGCAGATTTTCCCATGTGAACTACAGATGTATTTGTTTGGGGGAAAAAAAGCTCAAACCATCACTGCCTTGCAGAAATTTCACAACTTTTACTGATGCATGGTACAGTATATGTATAAATCATTTTGCTGCTTTATTTCCAACCTATAATCCACAATGTGCTTTTGGTTCCCCTAAAGGAATTTGAATAACCCTAAATTAGCAACCTGGGGATATTGAAAGGCCATATCGAGGTTGAATACATCCATAATCAGATCCCTTTTGTTCTTTTCTTCACGTTTCACTGTGCATGCACTAAATAAAATAAACAACAGATTAGTCCTTGACTTCAGAGTTGCTTGCAGAAGCGGGGATATTTTATGCCAAGGTCCTTTCCCGCTTGTTTGTCTCCAGTGGTGGGCGGTGAAGGTGGACCATGGTGTGCCTCCTGGCTCCAGCTGCCCACGCTTCATTACTTTACCTCAGATTACAGAGTTTATGAGAAGAGTGTGTGTCTGTGCAGTAGGCTTCCTGTAGTTTTCCTGGCCTAAGCTGCAAACATTGACTGAGACCAGATGGAGTTCAACGAGCTACCCTAGATGAAATCACACTCATAGCCCTGTTTATCATAGAAGAATCACACTTCCACTGCACCTCTCTAAGACTCAATTGACAGACTGGGGTTTTATGAATCACAAATACAAAGTTCTTATACTGTAAATTCAACACACATGTTAATTTATTATCAGGGTACAGCTGTTTACCGTAACCACTTACCGAACAGATGGCAGCAACTTTGTAGTTTTATAGCTGCAGTGCATAATTTTCAATGACATCTAATGGTCAGACTGCAGACTGCAGCGACATCAACCCCTCCGACAATACGAAAGCTGTTATTGTATAAAATGGCTTTCAAAATATCCCCATCACCTTTTCTTGCCATGCAATGATCTAATTTGTTTATATTACAGATGCACAGATCAGGATTTGGGAAATGCTTGAATATTTTGTAGGAATTAAAGGAACAGCTCTAGACTGATTTAAATCTTATCTATCTGATCGATTTCAGTTTGTTCACGTTAATGACACATCTTCAACATGCTCAAGGGTTACCTGTGGAGTACCACAGGGATCAGTGCTAGGACCAGTTCTCTTTACTATATATATATATATATATATACAGTGTTGTGCCTGAACGCGTTCATTGAACGAAAGTTCATGAACTCGTTCATATTTTGGGCGAACGTGAACTGAACGTACTGCATTACTGCCTGATGAACGTTATTGTGAACTCGTTCATTCTGGTGTCTGTGAACGGCACGCTCTCTCAGTTCAACTCCGTTTAATAGGTTGCCAGATTTCTATAGAGCCCTCCAGGCGAAACCCCGGCTAAATCAAACCGTAAACAGGCCTTAATATGTAGCGGGAAAAACACCCAATCTGGCAACACCAGCTACCAGTGTCGTAGCCTACAGCCGCGTGCGTCATCAAAACAAAATGCAGCGTTGAAGCTGCAGCAGCATGGAGGCGACCGTTGAGGCGACAAAGCAGCAGTATGATCACTTAAAACAGGTTTATGACCAGGTGGTCGGTGAGGATGATGGCAACAAGTTGGCCCGCCGGCTTTCAGTAAAAAAATCTGCACTTCAGTAACCTTAAATTCCTACCTCAGCCTGGTCCCTCAGTTTGTGTTAGTAAAATCTTCTTGAGCGGAGGTCTTCAACAGGGGATCCGCGACCCCTAGGGGGTCTACGGAGGTACTGCATGAGGGTCTGCATGGTTAGTTGATATTTTTATATTCCCCCCCTGCAATTTTTTTTCCCACTAATTGAAATGTCTTTAAATAATCATTAACATGAAATCAACACACTGTAGTAAACAGATAAATGGAGGCAGAAGATGTCTTTCAGTCATCAATGCTCACATTCAGCGACACACAGGAGCTCTTTCAAGCTGGGCACCGTTTCCTTCACAACAACCAGGAATCAGAATCAGAAAAACTTTAATAATCCCAGGGAGAAATTAATTTCTTTACATTACTCCATCTGTAATAGAGTGACTTTAGGACACAATTTCATACAATATATATAGTTAGGGGGTCCCCGCTCCATCTCACCATCAGTTTGGGGGTCCTTGGTCTGGAAAACATAGAAGACCCCTGTTCTTGAGGGTTTTACTATCCATGTAACTTGTTTCTTAAACCTGCCTGGTATAATTTTCCAGGATTCCAGTATTCCTTTTTAGTATGTATTGAAATGGAATTTCAAATGGAAAAAATTATTAAAATAAAAATAAAAACATTTGCACCTTAAAGACTACTTTCCAATTTTTCTTTTAATAATTACTCATAAAGAAGACCATTCAAGCAGCACATTTTTCCTGATGTTTTTTGAGAATATACTGTAGGGGTGAAAGCTGCAGCTGCTACTAGTGTGAAGTGAATGGACAGCAACAAAGCATTAAAGCAACAATGGGGAAATGCTGTCCCCTCAATGCTAATGTAAACCCTGGTTGGATAAGGATTCAAAACTGGATATGAAGATGAAATCTGACGCACAGTTTCAGTGTTACAACTGATAAAATAATTGCTGTCTGTGGTTCTACAGTAGGCTATGGTGTAATTGAGCAATATATGAAAAAAAAAGAACTATGAACTAGTTCATTTTTTGGAATTATGAACTATGAACTGAACTAGTTCATTTTAAAATGTGTGAACTGAACTTTGAACTAGTTCACGTAGAAAGAGAACTTTCCCAACACTGTATATATATGCTCCCAATCGGTAGAATTATTAGACAGCATGGGATTAATTTCCACTGTTATGCTGATGATACTCAGCTATATATGTCTATAAATCCAGATGAAGCTAACCCATTACATAGAGGCATGTCTTTTTAGTCAGAGGCACGTCTTGAAGACATAAAAAACTGGATGACTCATAACTTTCTACTCCTGAACACAGACAAAACAGTAGTTATAGTCTTTGGACCAGAGTCATTGAAAAACAAACTGATTAGTCAGTCAATTCATTTGGATGGGATTAAACTGATTTCAGACCATAAAGCAAATAATCTTGGTGTTATTTTTTTTTATCAGGACCTGTCATTTAAATCCCAGAGGTTTCTAGAATTTTCTTCATTCATCTGCTGATTATTGCAAAAAATAGCAATATCCTGTCCAGGGAGGATGCTGAGAAACTAGTCCATGCATTTATTACTTTAATGCTGGATTATTTTAATTCTTTACTATCAGGAAGTCCATAAACTGAAGTCCAAAATGCTGCAGCCAGAGTTCTGATGAAAATTAAAAAGAGAGATCATATCTCTCCTATTCTCGCTTCTCTTCATTGGCTTCCTGTTAAATCAAGAATAGAATTTAAGGCTGTTTCTAAGTGGTAAGAGAAAGAAAAATATCTGTTTTACATAAATGCTTTTGGTGTAATTTAAGTAGCTAGAAGATCTATGTACTTACCCAGGATGGCATAGTAAAAAGGGAACTGAGCAGGATCAGTTGAGTACTGTGGGAGCGCAAAGAGACCACCAGGTAGGAAATTCCACAGCAGGTGATTTCGGGACACATGAGCCTCCACTCGGTCCTGTATGATCTGTGGGAGGTAGAGAAAAAGAAAGCTATAGTTCAGAAAATGTTAAAAAAAAAAATTTTTTCCAAAAACACTCACATCCCGTTCTTAACATGCTTGTATGAGCAGAACATTTAACATCTATCTCTATAAAGAAACATAACTTGTCCAACAGATTGTAGATAATAGCTTAAAGTTCTGATGAAATGAAAAGGAAGCAGCTGCTTGGTAGCATCTGGTGTGCTGGGGAAGTCTCTCCAAGGGTTGTTGCTTGTTTTGAATTTCTTCTCTTACATTGGAGTCAATTTAACCCCAACATGAGCTGATCATTTGTTATACAGCTAATAATATCCATCTGGGTTGTTACCATAGGTCAGAACATTTCCTCTGCTGTGGCTTCAGCGTAAGATAAATGACACATCTTACTCCAAGCAATGCATGTACAAATATCATATAAAGGTCTTTTTCTTCCTGTAAATATGCAGTTGCAAAAAAAATTCATGAACCAATTCGGTTTAATGGTAAAACTGAAAATTGTCCAGATGTTTTGAATAAACAAATTACACATTAAGAGTTTAAATAGTTAAATAAAACTAATAATCTAGAAATTTGATCCATGTTAAGCTCTTAATTCTATTTTTAAATAACTCATGCTGTCTAAAAGATATTAAAACCCCTGAATAATAGTCTTTATTGTAGTACCTTTTAAAATTTGAGTGACTTTTGTGGTCAGAAGGGCTTAAAGGTATAGTGGTTTATGTTCTTTTTCTGGGTGGATCATCAAAATAAGTGGTCCTCCTAACTGTCAATCATTCTGGTTATGTTTTTACATAAGGCCGTCTTACATGCTCTTCTCTGTTTTAACTTAGTGAGTCTGACATACTGGAAAAATTGCAAATCTTCTTCTGGAAAGTAAACTTGTATGAGCGATGCAAACAGCAACTTTTCAAAAGAGCGAGCATGAGGAGAAATGGGCTTGTCGCATACGTTTAATAGCCTATCCCTCCGGAGTGGGTATAGGGTTGTGTATTCGCATTTTTTGTGCTTTTTTTTTTTTTTGACAATTTAAAAAATTTGCGAAATTCTTCCACTACTTATTAAATTATCGTAAATTATTTTAAGATTTCCATCTTAAAATAATTTCAGGATTTTTTTTTAAATGGAAACCTTAAATACATGAAATGTTGATAGCCTTGGAAATTATAAAAAGAACAGATGCCTCTTTTGTCTTGTGAGAAAACAATGAAATATACTCTGACTGTACCTAAAGTAAAGCATGGCGGTGGCTTGCAGTAGAAACCTGCTGCAAGTTGAGAAGAAGCTGAATTTAAAATAAAAACTGGGGCAGTTAGTACCAAGCTAGTGCCAATTCACAGGACATGGAATCTCAAGGCATTTACAGTAACTGTTTAATTAGATCATAGTCAGATTGTTTGAAAGCTTCTATCTAAGGAAACCTGGCTGATTGGCAAAAACCTGGCAGTGCATGACTGTCCGTGGACACCTTCAATTTCATACTCTGCTAGAGCTGGCCATTTGGTGAAGCCACCAAGGTCTTTTTGCTAATGGTGTAAAGGTGGAATTTGGAAGTCCCACTTAATTGATTCAATCACAATTTACACCTGGCATCAGAAAAAAGCTTATTTTTGACAAAATAGATTGTGAGATGCAAACGACTTTTTCCACATGATTCAATAGTGACATTTTTCCAGCTGTTTTTAATATTTGCATCATTTCCTTTCTGTGACTGCAGCTTTTTGTTTGTGCTCATTTGCAGCATTTTGTTGGCGGCTGAGGTATATTCAGTTTGCAACTGTTTTTGTTGATTGTAGGTTTTTTGTTCTAGTTTTTGTGATTGCAGCATTTTGTTTGCAGCGTTTTTCTTTTGCATTTTTTTGTGTTTGTGTTTTTTGGGGTTTGAATTATACGTGTTTGTAGCTTATTTCCCCATTTTCTGCGTGATTGCACCTGTTTGCAGCGTGCTTCTTTCTTATTTGCATTGAATTTCTTTTTTTTGTGTGTGTGTTCTGGAGTTTGTATAACATATTTTTGCAGCTCGTTTTGTGGTTTGCTATGCGTTTGCAGCTGTCCGTGGTTGTAGTTTTGTAGTTAAACAACACTCTTCTTTTAAGATGTTTAAATAAATTTGTTGACTTCATTACAATGTTTAGGTTTAGGTTCTCTCACTGACCTCACTGATTTGGTCAAGAAAAATGATTTCTCTTTTAGTCCAATCAGTGTCCTCCTCTCCTAAAATGTTGCCATTCGTATAACAGGTTTGCACTTGTTAAAGTAGTTAGTTTAAGCTATTTTAATTTGTTTTAATCTTTCTTTGGTGCGTTCCAAGATTTTCAACTGAACTTGAGCTTTGACTATTGCATTTGTTATTATTCTGCCCTTTCTGGACTTTATAGACCTTTAAGTTTTCACTTTAGGCAAGGCAAGGCAAGGCAAATTTATTTGTATAGCACAATTCAGTACAAAGACAATGCAAAGTGCTTTACATGATTAAAATACAGGAAGATAAAACAGAATCAAAGCAAGTAGGAAAAATAAAAAAAATAAAAATAAAAATAAATAAAATAAAATAAAAAATGCAGAAACAAAAAAAGAATATTAAAAACAGTTGGATTAAAGAAAATATGTTGCAGTTGAACTGTTTAACTAGAACAGTCGAAGGCAATCCTAAACAAATGTGTTTTTAGTCTTGATTTAAAGGAACTCAGGCTTTCCACACTTTTACAGTTTTCTGGAAGTTTGTTCCAGATAATTGGAGCATAGGAACTAAATGCTTCTTCTCCATGTTTAGTTCTGGTTCTAGGTATGCAGAGCAGGCTGGAGCCAGAAGACCTGAGTGGTCTGGAGGGTTGATACACTGATAGCAAGTCTGTGATGTATTTAGGTGCTAAGCCATTCAGAGATTTATAGACTAACAGAAGTATTTTAAATTCTATTCTCTGAGATACAGGGAGCCAGTGTAAGGACTTTAGAACCGGGGTGATGTGCTCTACTTTCTTAGTCTTAGTGAGGACACGGGCAGCAGCGTTCTGGATCAGCTGCAGCTGTCTGATCCACTTTTTAGGCAGACCTGTGAAAACACCGTTGCAGTAATCAATTCGACTAAAAATAAACGCATGGGCACAACAGACACCCATTTAGTGTCTGTTGTGTTTCTTGTTTACTCTCTGTTGCCCCCTTGTGCCAACCTCCTTTCCCCCTACCTCCCTTCTAGATCCTTCTGTCCACACCTGCTCCCAATCAGTTGATCACTCCATTCATTGTTCTGTTTGGCATATATACTCCTCCTCAGCAGTTACTGTTTACTGGATTCTTTTTATTCCTTATGTTTTTTGTCTCCTGAGTGTCTCCTACTTTATTTTTATTCCTGAGTTCCTTTCTGGATTATTCTGTACAATATACCTCTTAATTAAATCTACAAGCTCTGCATTTGGGTCCTTTACAAACTCCAAAGATCATGACAGCTTTGAGTCTTTGACTTTACAAGAAATGGCTGTTGTGGATGAGCGAATGGCGACAATGGTGTAAAGCAAAACCGCAGGAATATACCCAGATGGAACTCTGACCTTAATTACATAGCTCCTTTTAGATGCAGAAGAAAGCGTTGAGTTTTAAACACTTCTCAGTTATCCAAACTCTTTACCATATTATTTAGAAGGAATTTGGTCTTTCTACAGAGAAATGTTATTACTCATTCTTCAGCCATACTCACATCTCATGGACTTAGTTTAATGGATTTAGTGATAATAATAATGTGTTCCCCAGTACAGATTTGTGTCTCTTCTTTCTTACATTGTTATTCTAGGTAAAGTACCAGAATTATCACTGATACGTCACCAAATTCAAGCATTAATTCGGCCTCAGTGAATTACCATGCTTAGTGTTATTTATCAACTGCCATACTGACTGCTATGATCAAACATCCTAATTGATACACTTGAAGTACTGATGCCAGTTTGGGGTTGACAAAGGATGAATATATAAATGGGAATAGTTTCTATGAAACCCACCACAAGCAGGTTATGTGAGCACCCAGACAACAGTGCGACTTAAACTTGATGATATTAGCTTTATTATTTGATTATTGACCTACCTCAACCTGTCATACAGGACTTAAACACTGTTCATATGTATCAATATTTATACCACAAGAGAAACTAAAATACACATTTTTATTTTGTTTTTCTTTATATTTCAAGTCTAACTGCACACCATTCTCTTGCATTGAGCTTTGTTTCACACAGAAACATATTAACACACCCACTGTTTGAAACTAAGTGCCAGGCTAGCTGCATGTGGGAAACTAAAGTTATCAACAACGCTCCATTACACCCATTTAGCCCGGTGACATGCTGGCTCCGGGGTTCTTTGCACATCTGGCCAGCAGTACATGACTGTCACTGGACATCTGTCTAATTTCATACTCTGCTAGAGCCGGGCATTTGGTGAAGCCACCAAGGTTTTTGTTTGTGCAACAGAAAAGCTGCCGTCTCATATCCCTTTATTAATCTGAGCATTTAATGTGGGATTAGCTAAAATATCACAATTTCCTCACAAAACTACTTAATAGCTCCATCTGTTTTTTTTTTTTTTATCAGACTGTTCTTTATGCAGTTACAGACTCTAACAAATTACATTTCAAAAGGGACTTAGCAGCAGATACAATGACTTTTCACTCCATAATTTAAACACTTTGGTATAGTACAACACTGACTTTAGAAATGTTTTATATTTTCTGTTATACTTTTTGTAAAAGGTTTGAGGTTATGCAAATATCACCAATGAGAGAAAGTAAAATTTGGTGAAAGTTGTTCTTTAATGTGTTGATACCAAGCCTTATACCGATAACAAATGTTTCTAATTAAGTTCAATAGAAAAATTCTTTGGTACCAGAATTTCAATGTATTAGAAAAATTGGTCAAATCAGAAGTTTAGAAAATTGAGAAAGATTAGTCATTTCTTGCACCTCACTTTTAAAATCACTGAAAATAATTATTTTCTAATGTCCTGAGATAAATATTTTTATCAATTGATGCTTGAAAATAATTCTTAATCATGATGTAAAACCATACATTTTCTGAATTAATAGTATTTTGTTTTATTTTAAACCACAGGGAAACAATAAATCTTGTATTGATGCTAGGATTTGGAAAAAACAGACACACTCCTTGCTATTTGTAAGGCACAGGGGAGGTTGAGCCCCTGTACTGTATAGCTTAGAGTGGGAAAAATGCTATAAAAATTGTGTTAGGAGCAGGTATATCATAAACATGATGGTGAAAAAAGTTAGCATAGCCAATTAGCAGAACTAGTTTAATGAGGACATTAGAAACACTTAAACTAAGACTTAGACTCAACTTTATTTATCACTTGAGATTGCCCCTTCAGGGAATTTCTGGTTCCAGTAGCTTATATAGAGTACAAAGGACCGAGTTAAAGCAAGATGCCATTAAGATAAAAATCCAACAGACAATAAAAGAAGAGTGTATATAGTACAAGAAAGCATGAAAAAAAGTTGTAATGTCCTGGAATATGTTTCCTTTAGATATAAAAATAACTGCACAGTAAAGAGCTAAGCAAGGACTTTGGTGAACCTAATATAACCAAAATTGAATTTAAAAACAAATGTGATAAGTTTTCACAAGGAATTATGCAAATTTAAGAAAGTAGTTAAAAAGGGTGAGTGTTGGGCTAGCTGTGTTCCAAGATTTCAGGATTTTCTTTTATTTGCAACGTTTTTCTTTTGTTTTGTTTTTTTTGTTTTTTGTGTTTGCTTTTTTTGCAGTTTGCATTATGCATGCTCGCAGCTCATTTCGGCATTGCACTTGTTTGTAGCTTGTTTCTTTTTTGTTTGCATTTTTTTTCTTTTGCATTTGTTTTTTGTCCTTGCATGTTTTGAAGTTTGCATCACACTTGTTTTTGCAGCTTGTTTTGTGGTTGGCTGAGTGTTTGCAGTTGTCGGCCACCGTAGTTTTGTAATTAAATAGCACTCTTCTTTTAACATGTTTAAGTTGATTTGGATTGACAATATTTAGTTTAAATCCTCTCAGTGGCCTCATTTATTTAGTCCAATCAGATAATCCTAATCTGGGGAATTTTAGAGCACTCCAAGATTTTCAACAGAACTTGAGCTTTGGTTATTTTCGATTTTTGTTTTAAAATGTAACAGTCGAATGAAAAACTGAAAAGTTGATCTTTTCAGTTTTGTTTCATTATAAAGTTTTACAAAATTATCCCTTTATCCCCCTATCTTTTTTGCAAATGCAATAGACAATTTAAAAATCTTAACAGGATATGATCAGCAAGGTAGATGGATAGGAAAAGCTCTGCTCAGAGTATAAATGCTGGTTTAGACCAACAGAAATTTTAAATGTGATTGTGGAGATTAAATGTGCAATTTCAAACCTCAAGGTTTGACATTTAGCTTTATGTAGAAGTAAGGTTCTGGTAATGAAACAACCCAATGGAAACATTCCCATGCATTTAGATAACGTATCTGTTTTAGCAGCTGAAGCCACAATACTGGGTATCTCTCAGGTCCAGACTGGGTAACGACATTTACCATTACATTTACCAATTTGAATATGGAAAGGAAAGTACTAAACTGTAGTATGGACCTCACAAATACAATATAAAACTTTGAGCGTGAATCTACTGAATTCATTTATTTTCAATTTCTCTGATGACATTCAAGCTTCAAACCCAACAGACCTTATAAAAAGACTGTTAGCAAATATACAAATAGGAAAACAGCAATGGATAAAAACACAGCTGTCATCAGGAGACAGAAACTATGAGGTCTTAACTTTCCAAGGTGATGCACAGCCAGGGGCAATGTACGCTACAGAACAAGATGTTTCAGTTTAGCTGATTAGACAAAGTCCTTCTGACAAACTAAACCCACAAACTCTCATCTAAGACAATTTTCTGCAAGCTTACCTCCAGAGTGGTTAAGACTATTTTGGCTACAGAGGAGAAGTAGGCGTCCCAAAGGAACTGGGTCTGTTGGCGGAGAGCCAGGATCCTGTCACGGCCCACGGATCGGGTAATGGAGGGAACCTGGAGCGAGAGCAGAGGAAAGTTGTTCAGATGACAGTGGGATAGATTAAGTTAGATTTTAAACAACATGGAGTGAAAGGTAAAAATCGAGGGGGTGTAAAAAGTGGGTAGACAGGTGGAGGAAGCATAAGTTATTTAGTGGAAAGCAAAGATTAAAAGGAAATTTCCCCCTCAGGTTTGAGCCCCTCTAATTCCATCTTCTGTCCATCATTCAGCTTATTCTCAGGACATTTCTAAGCCGTATTCATGGCTAGGGTAAATAACAATAAGTGCAAGAGTTTTTTTTGTTTTTTTTTAAACAAAACTGCATTTCTGATCTGCTCATCAAATTGATCCCATGCTGACTGACATCTCCATTTCACAAATCTTTTAGAAACCTACACCCAATGCTTGTCAGACGTTCCATATAACAAATTCTCTTGATCTCTTTGTCATTCATGTCATGCTTCAAATATAAGTGAAACAAAGTAAGATCCAGAAAAATTGATATCAGCCTTCAAAGTTTAAAAATCTGCAAGAAAACCATTAAGGGCATCTGAGTTCCCAAACTGTGGTTTAATCCGCACATCACCAGCCACCCTCCCCTGTTATCTAAAAGCAGAAGAGTCTTCTCAGTTTACACAATCAGCTCTTCAAGAAAATAATCAGCAGGAACACACAGGTCTCTGCATCCAATTAAAATCAAACACTTTGCTTATGTAAGCATTTTAATTCTATAAGACTATTGTAATTTCTGATCTTTTTCAGCTTATTTGTTCATTTTGGGTTTCGTATAAATACAGTCTGGAATAAATGTAGTCCATAGTATACCCATAAGTGGTTAAACGAATACAGCCTAATTTTTATTATGACCTGATCTGAAAGAAGCAAAATTCTATAATGGTTCAAAATTAAACAGACAGATAAATTTAGCACACCACATTTATTTATGGATTTTAAATCCATTAGTGAATTAGACATAACTCAGCAACATTTGAATAATTGGTAGAGTGTTCCCAAGTGACCATGGGCATCAATAAGCTTTACTGGGATAAAATCAGTCTAAGTCCTAATTTAGTTTAGTTTCAGCTCTCTGAAAAAAAGAGCATTTATCTTTTTTAGCTCTTTGAAAAACAAATAACATTTATCATTCAAAAAGATGAGGTCAAGAATATTCTCTACACAACAGCTCTAAAGTATTAAATACAAGTTTCGCCAGGTACATTTTGCAAGGTTTAGTGTTTTACGAGGAACAGCGACACCCAAGCAGCCGAGATTTGAACTAAATAGTGATAACGTGAAACACACATTACTGGCTACTGTAACTTGATGCAGTTAGTTTTCCCTTTTTTACCTCCAGCAAGGAGGTTATTTCATAAACGTTGGTTTGTCTGTTAATAACTACAAAAGTAATGGGCTGATTTTTATCAGAGGTGCATATCATGCCAATGAACAGTTAATTAGATTTTGGTGATGATGCAGTTATTAATCTGGATTAAGTCTGAAACAATTAATCGGATAAATCGTGATTAATTAATTAATCACAATTTACACGATTAATAGTCCATTAATCTTTAACTGGAGTGTAAACTCTAAAACATGCCTTTATCTGACAGAGAAATCCACTTAGAGCAGTAGGTGTAACAAAATTCTAAAAAGATATATTAATATTTCGCATTTAAGATAAAAAAAAAAAAAAAAAAAAAGTTTACCTCTTTAATTATGCTTTTTCCAGAACTCCACATGGAAACATTTTAGTTTCACTGGTTTAATTCAGTAAAAAAAATCTTCTCTAATGAGCCATATTGCTAACCGATTGTTAATCAATCAAAGAATAATTGATGGATTAAAGCTACAGTGTGTAATTTTCAGCGACATCTAACGTCCAGACTGCAGACCGCAGCAACATGAACATCTCCCCCCCACCGCTTCTCCCCCTCAACAGTACGGCGAGCGTTACGGGACAAAATGTCTTCCACGACGGCCGCATCACCTACCTTCTCAAGTGATGAGGTTTGTTTACATAGATAATTTTAATACTGCCATCTATTGTTCAGTACCGTCTCAGTTAATCTCTCTCAACTTGCCGTAGTTACTTTCGAGCGCAATGGGCGATCTTGCAATCGCTAGTTTGTTGGCTCTGCGCTGCCGTAGCGCAAAGATGTCTGCCTCCATGGCTGCGAGACCCGCTCCTATGTAATTATAAATAACGAATTCTAAGGCAACACAAATATTAAGGTTAAGAGGCTGAGCTCGTAGATGATGATAAATAACATAGTTATGTATAATATATTACATTTCTGACTGTATATCCCTGTAATTATTACACACTGTAGCTTTAATTGATAAGCAAAATAATCGTTAGTTGCAGACCTACTCTGCAGGTTTTTTTTAAAGATTCTCTAACATTGGGAGTTAGGGAAATTTGATGGAACAAGCAGTTCCCCACTTAACCAGAGGGTGGCAGCAGTGACTATTAACAGCTTCAGCATCGGACTCTAAATCCGGAGGTATTTTACTAAAGAGAAAAACAAAGGAAAAGGAAACATTGATAATACTTTTGCAGGATCAGTTGAAAACTTTAAACAAAATTTATGGATATATTTGTTTTTAACAAGAGGTGTGCCTCATGCTAAGGAACAATTCATTTAAATTTGATTATATAATGATCGTGTGTGTTTTAGCTATAGGTGTAAGTAACAGTTTAGGGCAATATATGCTGCTTGGTGGAGTTAAAAGTGCTTTTCTTGTAAGCAGAATCTTAAAAAATTATTCTGTTGATTATCGTAAGGTATCTTTACTAGAATGATCAACTGGTTGTCCAGACGCCGCCATCACAAGTTTGAGCTGCAAGCCTGCCTTAAGCTTTATAAATCTGACCATTATGCTTCTGCTGCTTATTTAGCACTTATTTATTTATACAGGAATTCTCACCTATATCCCCGGTCATATGTAAAAAAAAGTCCTGTTTGGATAAAACTAAACAAAAGAATAATGAAACACTTGAGACCAGTTTCCTTATTAATTTATAACTTCTGCTATAAATAAAAATGGTAACTTAGCAACACTTTAATCCTCCTTGTCAGTCTTGCAAGATCCTCGTGTTTCATCTTTTATAACCAACCAAGTGGATCTGATCCCAACAGTAGCAGTGGTTTACCTGCCTTAATGGCTGCATTTTTGTTGCAGAATCAGATCCTTATTTGATCATTTTCATGAAACTGATAATAGATTATCTTGTCAAACTATCAGAGGCCACTTCACGTATGGTAAGGTTTTGCATTAAGATGAGTTTATGCCGAAGATACTTCAGAGGTGTACAGTGGCATCAGAAAACTTTTTTTTAATTTCTTAATTAAACTCATTTTAAAGTAGATTCTGAGCTTGTTCAGGTCTGAGAGACCCTCATACTCTCTCCTTAAACTATAAAAGAAATATTTTTTCATCCCCAAAAGAATCCAAATCTTCTTAAAAAAGATAGTTTTTGCATTGCTGCATTATTAGAAAATTAGAGCCTAAAATTTTAACTAACAGGTATCGATTGCTTCTGATGTCTAAGGGGCTCTTTACCCACTTCTCTTTAAATCTACTGAATAGAAGTCACCTTAGTAACTGGTAGGTTGTAAAGACATACAAGGGTGAACATTTCCATCAGAACCAGTGTAAAGTGTGGGATTATTCTGCTGCTGACAGCATAGCAGCTTGAGTTGTCACTACTCAGCTCTCAAAGGGCACCACCAATCTAATCAGCTCCATTTTCTACCTCCCATTAACTCTAACAATGTTTATGTTTCTCAGCAGGGGGATTTTGCGTCCATCTGAATACCTTGGTGTCTGTTTTTTACATGCTTGTCTCCATGGGGGGGAAACCGACACTCTACATATTAAACTGTTCGATACTGGAGCTCAGAGATGTAATTGAAAGTAATGACTTTCAACTTTCTCAGTAAGTGTTGGAAGGATTAGAGTTTTTTGTTCAACCAGGAGCAGTTCTGAGACTATGCACTCGAAAAGATTTACAAACAAAATGAATAAATCAGACAAAAATGTACTTTTCTTTTGGTAGATCTATAAGAATCCATGAAGTTTATCTGAAAATAAATTCTATTGAATGGTTTTACAAAAGTAACACCTAAGAGGAAGTTTAATAATTAGGGCATCTCTCAAGAATATATATAAATGCCTTTTCATTAACTTAGATCTGAATTGAATTAATGGGTATTTACCCATAGCCTCGTGAGACCATCCTGATCTCGCGAGCTTTCAAGGTTTCACTCGCAAATCAGTCTGGAGACTCTCCGTTAAAGAAAATTTGGAGCCGTTCACCAAACGAACGTACAATCAGCGTTGGCTTTGAGACGGGTTGAGTTGTGACGCGCGGCAGTTCAGTCTAAAGAACATGGCGGCTTCAGCCGATGAAACTAGCGTTAGCGTGGCTATCGAGCAAGTTTTATCAGAATGAAAGAGTATTTCTTCACTGAAAGAAGAGCAAAACACTGCTCTGGAGGCTTTTCTCAGAGGAAAAGATGTTTTTGCTCTTCTCCCGACTGGTTTTGGCAAGAGTAGCCTGGCTTGTGGTTGTGTTTTCGTCGCCACTCTGTTAGTACGTCATATGCTTCGTTGATCTGATTGGTTTATTTGACCCGTCTATCACCAACATAGGCCAATCAGCTAACCAGTATTTTCACCCCAAATTCCAAAAAACCTACAGAATGAGCACTGTGATTTTGTCCCAACCGTGGAATTCTTTAACATCTCTACACCCTCTGCAGGGTACTTGAGGGGTTCATTGGTGCTTTCCCTACCGGTCCACATGTGTTATTTGGACCTGGAGAGGATATTGAACTTCTCCAGGTCCCACTGTTTGGCAGGCCACTTCAGGACTACAGAGTCATGGTCCCTTTTTTTATGGGCTCTGCAAAAGTGAACCAGGATCTTGTTCATTTGTTGGCATTGTCAGCATTTTCGTCAGACCATTTCCTAGTGCATGTTGGACTCTGGCAGGGCCCCAGTTCATAAAC